ACTTCAATCATAAAATGCCTCGTTATAACAAAAATGTAATCTGCCCCTCATTTCTAACCTAGTCATCCCCAAACAAAATAACGATCTTTCAGTCTGCCATGGACAATAAAGTGGGTCTTGAAATAAAAATAAAATGTTCTCACACATACTTCTCATAAGGCTTGCCAGCTTTGTCAGCATTTGAAAATAAATCTCTTTCATAAAATAAAATCTTAATCAGATGTACAAATTATTATAATCTCTATAACCGCAAACAAATTAAATAAAATATAATCATTAAAATTTGAAGCACCTTGAAACGTAGACAATACTTGGCAAAGTTTTCTAACTCCCAGAACACCTAGCAATTTACTTTTCTCATCCCAGTTTAAATACTGCAAGTTAGGGAGACTGGGCATGATATGTACAAAGCTATAATCACTAAACTAGGGATGCCACAGACTGAATCAAGGCAAGAATACTGCAGTTTTTAAAAAAAAGGTAAATTCTGTCATTCCAAAAATTTTAATATTTATTTTAAGATAATCTATGATGGATATTACTGTAAGAAAACTATTTCAGAGATCTGCACCACAGTATAAATGTCAAGGGTAGATATACAAGGGCTCTCACTTCCCTGTGATTAGTGGTGATGGCAACACTGAGATCACACTGTCAAATTGTTATAGTGCAAATAACAACACTACACACAAAGCACAGACTTGAATCCTGGTTTCTGCTGATTGTTCACACCAAACAATATGGCCAATCAAATAGCTTGTATCATGATTTACAGTGAAGCAGCCATATTAAAGATATTGATACTATAAATAAACAAAAAAATAATACACATTGGTATGAGAAACAAATCAATGCGCATGTGTAACACTTAGCAGTTACTAGCAACGTTGTCTTCTCAATATACATGTGTACATTGCAACTTTTTAAATGGTGGTGGTTGTTGCACAGCGTCGAGTTTGTGGGTCCCATAGCAACTTACACAATGCAATTTGAATACACCCGTGACGTCCACCACCACTCTTCAACCCTACCTTTGAAATCTGCAATTTCTTAATCCATATAATATATAGAACTATAAAAAACAGAACATTTTAACAATTGTATATGCACATGTGTTGGTTTGATGAATTGAAATTGTATAATGACTATAACTGTACTCTCTAATATGCCAAATAAAAATGACAGCCTCAAAAATAAAAATAAACTTGGCAGGAACAGTATAGCATGTTTTTTGGTCGCACTATGAATATAACTTTTATTCTATAAAAACTCTTCAAAATTTGGTTCATCTTTTAAACATCCACACGTTGATTGCTAAAAGCCTCCATTGTAAGTCATGGATTGCCGATATCTACTGTAAAATACTTTATTTTAGCTGGAATTTATTTTCACTGAAAACACTTTTTGGGTGTTTGGTGTGGAGTTTATTTTCAGATTTTTGATGAGTTGAATGTAAAATATCGAACAAACTTACATTTACTGGATTTTATTGCCACTTACGGTATATAGGGAAAATAAATTCTGAGCGTAAATAAATTATTTTACAGTATTGTATAAAAAAAAAGCTCCAAAACTGAACTGAGCCAAAATAACTTTGTGGTACCAGATGAGTCAATGTGGTGATGTCATGTGACATAAACTCTATTAAAATTTTATATTTGTCAAGTCGCATAAGTAGACGCGCTTGGTGATGCCTTGTGCTTGATTCAGTCAAAACTATTTCACAATTCACTATGATTTAAAAATATGATATCATCATGAATATTTAAGATAAAAGCATGGAAATATCAGGAAGATGAATTTCCAGCTGTCGAGGTGCTGTTTATATGTACCCTGAACATCTTAACACCCAGTGAATGTACATTTGGTTACTCTGAAAGTAATTTTTGCTCAGTACTTAAAAAATTGAAAAAATTGGACTCTAATGAGACAAGATATCAACATTAAATATCATTGCGATTTGTAAATTTCATGCAATATGAGAAAGGCATTTTTTAATGTCATTGTAAAATCGTCACTGTGTTTCAAAATTTCACAATTTTCACCCAGACTGTCGAAAACTTGTTGGATTACAGGCAACATTGAAGAGATAAGCATTGTTAGCACCCTCTATGGCAGGAACCATAGCAGCACACAAAGGCTTTCATAAAACATCAGCTGCCAAACATATAGGATGCCTGTTTGATTAAAAATAGTCCAATTATATCCAAAGCATACTAATATCAAACGCACTCCAATATACTTTTTATCTAATAAAATTTCAGTAAATGCAACCAGTCTTCTGTTGAATAAAAAATCTGATTTTGAAAAAAATGATGATGCACCTTGACAATAAGTTATTTATTCTTGAATTCTATTTGCATTTTCACATTCCATTTTAGCATTCTTTTGTTACCATCAAGAAATACAAAAACAAAACATAAACTGTTTATATCCCCTCCAAAAAGACAGAAAAAAAAATATAGTCACTAGCAGCATTCATCTTCACGTTTTAAGTCATACATATCCAAACGCTAACAAAATTTGTGACAAATCATTTTTCTATATTGTTAACTAAATCTTTAACAATTTTGGACCAAAATGACATAAATTAACATTATTAATAGACATTAACCAAAATTTTTGATCAAAATTTTCAAAAACCAAATAGATAATTGACTAATGCAAGTATTTATATTATGTCTACTGTAGCATTGACCGACACAGTATTTGGGGCTACATCATTAAAATGCGGTGGTCATTGTGACATTGTGTGCTTGAAGTGGGTTCCATGTGACATTGCGCAAAATATACATCTTTTCTTTACAATCTCAATGTTTCTTGGCTAGCTGCCAAAATAATCCATGATTTTTCTTTTACTGTTACTCACTGAAACGTTAATCTTAAAATTAATATTTGAACCATAGTTAAAACAGAGAGGTCGTCACCTACACAAGCGTGGGAATTGAGTTCCAACCGACGATAACAACGCATGCTAAAAACGCAAAGGCTCATGGGTAGATGCTTGTTTGTAAACAATGACACGCTATGGCCATCTGACTCATACGCAGGTGATGACTCCCTCGCTTTAAATCTAGAAACAACAAGGTAGACCTTGACCCTTTGAATGCCATTCTATTATTATTTTTTGAACATTTTTATGTATTTTTCTATAATTTCTTGTTAATTTTAGACTGAACTGATATAATTTCCCATCAGCAGCAGATCCTGATCACAATTTTAAACTAAATTTGGAGAAATTTACGGAAGTTAGTTTTGAGAAGGCTGTCAAAAGTTGGCACTCAAAGGTTAAAGTTCAAGTACCTGTACTCTTGTTCAACAAACCATTCAAGAACATTTCGCCTAATGAAAATATTAATTTATAATTGCCTCAGAAAAAATTGCTGGTCAATGATTTTTAAAAAATCAACAAAATACATATTATTTATATCAAAATAGTTTCAGAATAGTTTCAAAATAGTTTAGCGATTATTTTTTTTTATCTAGTAAATTGTTAAACATTACCACTAGAGAGCGCACTTGGTGTTTTGGAAAATCAACAACAACATATTTTGAGATCTTTGAAACATGACATTTCAGCACAAAATACTTGATCACAAAATAATCAACTCTTGTATTTACCATATATACATAAAATATATGCAATTAACTACAGTACTCGACAAACTACACATGAAAAACTTAAATGTTCATCTTTTTGCATAAAACATTGCCAATGGTTTCCATGGCACTGATTCATATAAAATTACCCATAATTCATTGTGTAAAAGTCGATGATAATGTGCGTCAATGTGACAAAAATAAAGCATATTTCGAAACATTCAATCCTGTTCTGTTTCATTCTGTAAATAACGAGAAAGCAATATTTCAAAGTCAATGATACAACACATTCTCCATTGCAGAATATCTAGTGGAAAAAAGTGATAGGTTACACCTTGTGTATGTATGTGGATGCATTTACATGTTCTATGATGTTCAATTTATAGACCAAGTGTGAATACATTTTGTCAAACCAAGAAACTGGAAAAGCGGAGATACCTGATAATGAGACATTTTTTACTTCTAGAATGGCTATCAGTCGGCCATCTTGAATTGGATTGTGAATGAGAATAACATGTGTATATGAGTGAAGTTTAAATATGAGCTGATGGGTTCATGATGTTCAATGTGTAGAATCAGTTTGAATGATATTTGTCCAAATATGACCACGATTTGTGATGAATAAGGCAGAAATTCATGATTCTGGTGGATTGAAGTTTGAATGCGATTTATTATTCAAGACATGTTTGAGATTTAAGGTGTGAATGCATAGACAGACTGATGCACACACTGATGCATAGGGTGAAACTAGTTCCATTAATAAATATTCTGTTCACATAGACCCATTAATATAAGCTTTTATACCATAATTACACCTACCCCGCCCAGTACCTTTATTTTAACCAATCACTTCCTCCACACAACTTCCCTCTTCCCCAACATCTTTCTCTTAGCCTGCTTCCTTGATATAAATCTCCCCTATTCATCTGATTCCTTCCTAAACATGCCTTCCCTCTATCTACCTTCGTCTTCTCCATGTGCCCACCTTCTCTTTCCCACTTTCTCTGTCTAAACCCAGCTCCCCTATCTCCACCCGACTCCCCTATCTTCACCTGTCCTCTCCCAAAACCTTGTCTAAACCCCACCCCTTCCACTTGTCTCTCCTCCTCTCTAAACCAATCATTCCTCCTCTCTAAACCCACCTACACTCTCCCGCTTGCCTCACCTCTCTAAACCCACTCTTATCATAATTTCCAAACTCCCCCTATCTCGGCCCACCTCCCCTCTTCACCCGTGTCCTCTCCCTGAACCCACCTTCACTCTCTCACTTGCCTCATCTAAACCCACCTCCCCTATCTTCACCCATCTCCCCTCTTTTACCTGCTTCCCTTTTCTACACCCACCTGCCCCTACTTCACCCACCTAACAATAAGAAAGGTAACTGATCTTACCAACTTTTTCTATGCTCTCCTTGTCTCATTTAGCTCAAGTTGAAGCTTCACACCGGGTACACAGAATATGGAAGCCACTGCAAGAGTTACACACAAATAGGGTCTGGATGGTTAACACAGTTTATTATTTATTAAACAGTATCAAAATTTTAAATGATCTCATATACCGCTACTTACAGTCAGGTAAATCATGTATCTTTGGTAATAATCCTGCGAAATATGGGTGCCTCATTGCATCAAGTGCTGATATCCGCCGCGCTGGCATTAACTACAAAGTAATTATGAGTATGCAGATTAGTATATGTACTGTAAAACACATTGAAATAGCTACATGCCATTTTAGCAAATTTGACTCCATGCATGAATTAACACAACCTTAATTTAGCTAAAATTTCAACAATCTCATTGCGAGAATGCACTTTATTCTAAATTAGCGACATCTTGAATTAGCGAAATTACAGGTTAGCTAAATTAGCTAAAATGACATGTTAGCTAAAAAGACAATGTTACAAATGTGCATACAAGTTGGATTTTTTGTGCACTAAAAGACAAAAAAAAGTATGGGTAAGCATGCATGTGAATTTTATTAATATAGATTATAATCGCACCTTTTTTTTGAGAGTGGGGTTGGTATGCTATTACTATGTAAGAAGAATATGTCAAAAAATATGAAGGGAAAAAATGGCAGATCGATCTCAGGACCAAAACAAATCGCATTTTTAGGGGCACTAAATAAAGGTACAAAAAGAACTTGTATTTTAAGTCATTAGATCATGTGTAAAAACTAAGGCCAGACTGTTATTATCCCTTGTTTTGCGAACCCGCCGAATGAACAGGAGTCGAAAATCAAATAAAAATAAAATTTTATTTCAGCATAATTTCTCGCACCCGCAAAAAGTTGCTAAAAAATATTATTTTTATCTTCATTTTTTTTTACCGCACGCTGCATACAAAATCCAAGTTGCATTTTCGTGGGAGTATCATGATCAAAGTACTGAAGTCTCGCGCAGATGAGAAACAAGGTTATACATGGAATAAAATTTTATTTCATTTCTTCTCTCCGATCATTGATCTCACTTACAATTCTTTGAGAATCACACAAATCTAATGGAAAAAAAAAAATAGTTTTATTTTTTTTCCCCGCCCTCCTCAAAAAAATTGCCTTATAAAAACTCGAGAAACAAGGAATAAAAAAAAGTCTGGCCTAATATGTAATCACAATACCTTATGCGTAGCTATGTTGTTACAAAAGGAAGAAGCTGTTTTTTTTCAACACTCACCTGTAAAAAATGTGCCGCCAAGTCATTGGCGTGAATGTTGGTTAATAATCTGAAACAAAAAAAATCAAAATTAATGTTACATAACCATTGATAGAAACAACATTCAAATGATTTGGTGCAAACAAAAATTACAGAACCATTCTGTAAGACTCTGGAGATTATAGATAGAAGTAAACAGTGCCCTCTATGTCCTAAAATTACAGTTCTATCTTTTTTAAACGGAAGGTAATTTTTTGTTTGCTACTTACTAAAAGTTCAGTGCAAAATTATTAACATATTTTTTTATTATTGATTCATTAATTATTTATTTATTAAGACCACATGGATTTAAATTTGATTAAAAATTTGTGAAAAAAAATTAAATGGATTTAATTTTTGAAAGGTGACAATAGTTGTATTGGGCATTTAAAGGTTGAAATTACAAATAATTTGCATGTGAAAGGACGAATAATTTACAAAATTAGCATGTGAATTTACAAATGTGCATAAATTAACATGTAAAAATGTTACCTTGGTGTAATTGTTGATAACCTCTGTGAATGATACATTGGAAATAAGTCATGTTTATAATGTGGTAGTGAGGTTATCCCAGGCCATGTGTACTCCGTGGGTGTACCAAGTACCTAAATATTCAATAAACGAAAAAGAACAACATTTATTTAGAAGATATTCAGAATAATTGCCTACTCCATAACACATGTATTATTGTGATAGATTATTACTCTATTGCTATAGGCCCTGAATATGGACAGTTTGATGTTAACGTGACAACGAAAAATCCTTCAATGCTGGGCTTAAGACGTAAGCCTATTGGCTGATATAGCCTTTTCACCACCAGACTTTCTCGCCCAAATTATTCTGTATTTTTTTCTTATATTCTTCAATATTTCTGGAATTGAACTCTAATTTTGGAGGCAATGAATCAAATCAATCTGACTGAGGACCATTGAAGGAACCTACATATAAAAGATAAAAAATAATCTGACAAGTGGTTTTCAAGATAATTTTAAAAATAGCTTTTTTTTAACCAAAAATATTCACTACAATTGGAGAGTAGAAGTTATCTTAGTTATACACCTGAATAATTAATTTTTTTTACCAAACTTATCATCAGAAAGATATGTAGAGACAGGACTAAATGTAATATAAGGTTATTACGAGGATACAGAGGAAGTATTGACCGACGCGGTGTAGAAGTTGATGCGATGGGGTACTGTCTGAGTGCATACTTTTTGGTATCCTCGTAATAACTTTATTATTATATATCTTTTCCTCCCAAGGATACATCATGGGAATGCCGAAATACAAACGTTTAGAACAGATTGAGCAAATTTCTTTGTGTGGGGGTCAAACCCCGGGGGCCGCCATGTTTGTTCTTACTATTAGAGGACGCTTATGTGCGTAATCGTTCCATATTTGGAATTCACATTTCCTAATATGGTAGGATGAAAATACTTAGTGCAAAACCACAAAATTAAGGCACGCTGTAACGAAGACAGATGTGTAATAATAAGGAATTAACGCAATGTCCAAATACAGGCAATGGTATATTCTTTTACTGAATGGTGCATTTAATATCACTTTTCCCTGCATATTCAAATAAGGATGTTAATTACATATAGTTTCTATTATGTTTCACGTCATTAAACTGCGATTTAAAAGGTCTGGGCATAATATAAACAATGGAAATATTGTTTCTTACCCTAAATATCCGATCTAACTGGTCATATGTATCTTTCATTCCTGGGAATGCAGCATATCCTTGTAGCATTTCAATAAAAATACACCCAACACCCCTGAAATGAATAACAAATATTGAACACAGTCTGCATGTGGCATTGCTAGTATTGATGATTTTGAGGACTCTTGATCAACCATATTGATGATTAGATTAGACCCTTGACCAATCCCTTATAAACTTAGATGACCCTTGGCCAAACCCATATACACTTTGATGACCCTTGACCAATCCCTTATACACTTTGATGACCCTTGGCCAATCCCATATACACTTTGATGATCCTTGGCCAATCCCATATACACTTTGATGACCCTTGGCCAAACCCATATAGACTTTGATTGACCCTTGGTCAATCCCATATACTTTTTGATGACCCTAGGCCAATCCCATATACACTTTGATGACCCTTGGCCAATCCCATATACACTTTGATGACCCTTGGCCAAACCCATATACACTTTGATGACCCTTGGCCAATCCCATATACACTTTGATGACCCTTGACCACTCCCTTATACACTTTGATGACCCTTGGCCAAACCCATATACACTTAGATGACCCTTGACCAATCCCATATACACTTTGATGACCCTTGGCCAATCCCATATACACTTTGATGACCCTTGACCACTCCCTTATACACTTTGATGACCCTTGGCCAAACCCATATACACTTTGATGACCCTTGGCCAATCCCATATACACTTTGATGACCCTTGGCCAATCCCATATACACTTTGATGACCCTTGGCCAAACCCATATACACTTTGATGACCCTTGGCCAATCCCATATATACTTTGATGACCCTTGACCACTTCCTTATACACTTTGATGACCCTTGGCCAAACCCATATACACTTTGATGACCCTTGGCCAAACCCATATACACTTAGATGACCCTTGACCAATCCCATATACACTTTGATGACCCTTGGCCAATCCCATATACACTTTGATGACCCTTGACCACTCCCTTATACACTTTGATGACCCTTGGCCAAACCCATATACACTTTGATGACCCTTGGCCAAACCCATATACACTTAGATGACCCTTGGCCAATCCCTTATAAACATAGATGACCCTTGGCCAATCCCATATACACTTTGATGACCCTTGGCCAATCCCATATACACTTTGATGACCCTTGGTCAATCCCTTATAAACTTAGATGACCCTTGGCCAATCCCTTATAACTTTGATGACCCTTGGCCAATCCC